TGGAACAAAGAATTCAGATTAAGTTAGTTCTGCACCAACTATAAGTAGTTATTCTAACAGCATGACTACTATGGTGTGATGACTTCAAAGATTTAATGTAAAAATGGCATATGGTGCCTATAGCTAAAGAAATTTTATAAAAACACATAAAATAATATAATGAATGGATCTGCCTTAAACTCCTTGTGTACAAGGAACTCCAACTGCTATTTTTGTGGGGCTTCCATGCAACAGTAAACAGAATATGCTGCAAAATTATGGGGTACTGAGGAGGGTGTTTAGGACAAGTGAGTGTCCCAGGAAGACTCCTGCCTTGGTAGGAACGAACAGCTCACCTGGAAGAAGGTGCTTTCAGAGCACTGCCTCCACAGGGACTCTGACCGGGGCTTGTTCTGGCAGTATTTCTCATACATCTGGAAATCCTCTCGCTGTAAGGGAAGCCAAAAGGCAAGTCACACACATGCACGCAAACCTGCTGGGCAGCCAAATAAGGTGAACACCCAAACTGTAGATTTGCTTTTATCTCTGCTGCCAACTTCAATATCTAAAAGTCAGAGTCTGGGTAAAAATAGCACTGCTGGGAATCACAGCAGACCGCAGTGTAGTCACGACTGCTGCTCTCCCCCATCTGCTGCTGGCCATGCACCTACGCTCCCTGCCTTGCTGTTGGTATTGCCTATCAGAAGCATCTTACTCAACTGACATAACTGAGATGCTGCAGGGTGCAACAAATCAGGAGAAACATTGGCCTTCAAGTCTGCTGTATATATGAAAATGAGTCACCCACCCTGTCTAGGAAACAAAATCCCACTCTCTCGGGTGCTCCCAGGCAGCCTTCCAAACTGTGCAGGAAAATTCTGCAAGAGACGGGAGAAAAGACAAAATGCAGCGGTAAGCAAAGTACACAGTTTGGGTATTTAATTGTAACAGGAAATCAGGCTGATAAAAAGAGGAATAGAGCCAGCATCATACTTGTTGTGGAAGTCATATATCTCGGGCATGTTTCCGAAGAGGACATCCTTCCTGTTCCTCAGCATGGGAGGCATGAGGATGAACATGGCGGGGTTATCCATCTCAGCTCTGTAGCCCTGTGGGACGAAAAAGGGGCTCATCACTCAGTGGGTAAGAACTTGGCTTGGCATCTCCTCGAAGGCGATGAAAAGGGGACATGAAGAGACTTTCAATACAATCTGCTTTGTTTCAAAGTGCAACATTCCTTTTCATCCCTTATTTTTGTCTCTAAACCTCTGTCTTTCAGTCCCTGGGCATGTGGGGTTGTGGTCCTGCAGAGGATGGCTTGGGATGGCTCCCATGGAGCTGGCCAGCGCTGTGGAGGTGCTCTCTATTCACCAAAGGGAAATCACAGCCACTTTCTCCTTGCTATGGTCTGACTGTGGGAGAGGTCCCAGTGGAATACTTGTCTGGGTTGAACACATCTGCTGCTATGACCACGGGACACAGGAGTGAGAATGTGTTTGTATGGGGTATGCAGTTATACACAACTTCACAAGAACCAGTGCATGAGGTGACTTGCTGCAAAGCAGAGGTGGCTTGAGATCAACTACCAAAACCAACGGGCTTTTTGCTCTTGTACAAGACCCCCTGAGCACCAGGGTCTCACTCTCCTTGATGCCTCAGGATTTCTGTCCTCTGTGGCTCCACCTGCCTCTTGAAATCACAGCCTCCCAAGCAGGGAGGAGCTGGAAGGGACACCACTGCACTACAAATTGTTGTGTGGAACTAGGAAACAATGCAAATCTACCCTCAGTAAAGTCACATCGCTGCACCAACGCAAAAACATTCATCAGATTTGGTAAACATCCTAACAGTTGGGTAGGGAGAAGGCACGGACGTAGCTCAGGACTGTTGCTGCAAAGAAGACATCAAGAAGGCCATTAGCCCCAGCTCAAACTGGCCATGCTAGTCACCAAGCACTGCACAGAACTGAGGTCTTTTAACACAAGTAGCAAAAATGTTTGTAAAAAGGTATTCGGTATGTACAGCATATCTTCCTTGGCTTTCCAAATTAATCTCTCACACTCACTACGGTTAGAATCTGTATTTCTTATACTAAGCAGTATATCTTGTAATTGATTAAAGACGCAGTAGAAGATAAGTAACTGGAAAATTAGTCATTTATATTTGACCACTGCAAGCAGGCTTTCCTCTTTAAAGGAAATACTATTTTCAGAAAACTTAAGTCTAGCTGTCCATTTTCCTCTATCTAGACGATATGCACAATAATAAATCTGTGTACCTGTCAGCTGCTTTATCATACAGAGTGTGGTTTAACAAAAAAAAAAAACCCCAATCAGTGCAGGGCAATTACACGTAACTACCTGCAGTCCAACAGATTTATATCCTGCTTGCTCCTGGGTGAGATAAACGCAAGGGGAGAGAGCTATTTAACAGACAACTGGTTTTGGCCATCAGCAAGAGTTATTTTGGAATAAAGCAGAAGTGTCTAAAATGGCACTATGAGAAATTACAACCTGTTTTATAAAGAAACGTGTTTTATATGTTCACGAACGTCACAGTATTGAGGCAGAATCCTCCCAAGGCTAAAACACAAGCTTCTTTCTTTTGTCTCCAAAAGGTAAAAGAAATTAGGGAACAGTTAAAACAGTTAACAGCTTTTTGTACATTTTTTCAGGCACTGATAAAACTAATTACCAGTGATTTTGTGTACAAACAGAAGGCTTCTCCCTCATTCTAGATGAAAAGCTCATCCTGACACCAACTGTTCCTGCAGATGCCTCCAACAAAGAAAAGCTAGGGAGAAAACTTGAAAATTTGGATCTGACAGTTTGGTAGAAACCTGCCACATCATATTTTTGCTTAGTTTGACAGAGCAGGAGGTGCCCTTTTGTACAAGTCACCGGGGAACAGTAATGAGCAATCTGAAGAAGTCACTCACCGTCAAAACAGTGAAGAGTTCCTCTACGTACACCCTCTCAGTTTCTATAAGCTCATTTATGACATGGCTAAAACAAAAGGGGGGAAAAAAAGCCTATTATTTTTATGTCTGTTAAAAAACCACAGGTAATCAGTGCGGTTCAACTAGCCCAAAACATAGTGCGATCTCATGAACAACCAACATAGGGACGATAAAACAGGTAAAAGTGCAAGAAATGACACCTAGGTCAGGTTGAAAGAACACATGGATGGAGCAAGGGCCGGCCAGGAATAAGCACCATTTTGAGCAATGTAAACAGGGTGGAAACTTACCCTTTTAGTATATCTAAGTTGTCATCACTGTCTGAAATAAAATACTGCAAGGAATTCCGTTTTTCCTGATAGTCGTGCATTACTTCGATCTGTAAGAGAAATGGGATGCACTGGGAAGAGCTGTGGGCAGGTCACTGCAGAGGCAGCACAAGTCCAAACGCTGATGTTGGCATGGGAACTCCTTGGGGAAGGCTGAAATATGCTTCCTTTGAAGAAAGCCTTTGTGACTCAAAACTTTAAAAGGGCATAGCGTACAACGGGTAGCCAAATACTCCCAGAAATTACTCTGTTACATAAAACCCGAAAATACTGGTAACATAATTCATTAGTACAGAGAACAAAGAACAGTTTCCACAGGGGAAATATCTGTGGATGGGGAGTTTTCCTAATAGACATCACTGTTATGCAAAGAACAAGTTCAGGGAATAACACACAGGAGATCAGCATCTGTGACTTACAAAAACAATCAAAGATAGATCTCAGGTGCTGGACTAATCCAACTAAACCATACTGATATGAAACGTTGTTTGTTTCGGGGTTGGTTTTTTTTCAAATGGAAAAAAAAGAGCACCTTCAAATCTAAAGTCTAAGTACAACCAATTTTTAGAAGGGTTTCTGCTTTGCAGTGTACAAAACTCACTCAGATTGTATGAATAATTTTTACCTTGCGAGAACTTGGAGTTTTTCTTGATGTTTTCTTTCCAGGGAGAGAGAGATCAAATGAAAATTTCAAACTGGAATTAAAATCCACACCTTGGGTAGAAAAAAAACATAATTACATAATGTAAATCTATAGTGAAGGAGATGGTTCAGAGATAAACTAGTACGTCACAAAGAAAAATGGGTTAAATTTTAAGAATGAATAATTAGTTAGCTAAGACTACAAGCAAACTGAAAAATATCTCTAATACTAATAGCAAATAGCACAAGTTACACAGATGGTCATAAAGGCCATAAAGTAAAAAGTAATTAGAAAAAACAAAATGCTCATTAAGTGAATACTGTAATCAAAACCTAACAAAGTCTGTGAAGCCTGTGCAAATGATAGAAAACAATAAAATCAAATAAACTACCAAAAGGAACATCACCTACTGGGATACCATTTTAAAGTCCTTTTATGAACGTAGGGCAAGATGCTCAGCTGGTGTAAACTGTTTCTCCACCTTGGAAGAATTTATTGATATCATCAGTAAATAATCACAAGTTGTAATACTTGGGGTTACAGAGGTAAATTGGAAGCTTAAAAATAAAACATCAATCTCCTCAACGAGTTATACGGCATCTTTGAAACACTTCTTCCTCCTGAATAGTCAATATGGCAATTCTTCACCAAGAAAGTCTTCTCCCCCAACATGAATGGCAATAATGAATTTCTCTAGCATTGCACCAGCTCCAGCTTCAATGACAGCTCCATGTGCCAGGCTGGAGCCCCAGTGGCTGCACCAAATTCTGAGACAGTCCAAAAATAAATGCATTCTGACGTCACCTTATTTACAAATAGAAATGCATTCACCTTATTTACAAATAGAAAAAAGAGGCTAGCAAAGTGGAAAAAAACTCACTAAAAAACCTGGATTAATGAACTATCTTTCCATTAGGGTGAAAAAAGGTATCACAGCATATATGAATGCAACAACAGCTGTGTCTAGATCGCAGGTTTGAACAGCGCTGACCCCGAAGAGCCACCTTTTGTGAAGCAGAAGATGTAGGGAGAAAAACGGATGCAGAGGAACGCAAACCCATGTGGAGAGCAGGTGTCCCATCTTCAGATAAGATAAAGCTATTACATATTATCACACCAATGAGGCCTTAGACCTCCACGTGTAAACACACCAAATAAGGAAGGAGAGGGATCAGGATGCTGTAGAGCAGACCAGAGGTGCGCGTGGGATGTGACCCATCAGACAGGAAGACCCACAAGAAGCGAGAACTTGCCAGTGGTCCTACTGGGAGACTCCCACTGGGAGGAAGACAACACGGATAAGAAGTTAGACAGGAGATGGTCACCAGCTGCAGCTCAGCATTCTGTACAAGAGTGACTTTACTCCAGCGCTCAGGCTCCACCGCAGCCTGCCGTACCACTTCTGCACACCTCGCTACACTTTATGGCTCAGGACAGCATAGGTTTACTCTTTTTGCCCCCAAAAAGTGGTTTCAAAATTAGAACCACATTTATCAGACAGGCTTCAAATCCAGGGCAAAGATGGAAGAGGAAGCATCTGTCCTCAGACAGAAAAAGAAGCAGGGGCAGGGGGAACGAACGAACGAACAAAAGGACGGGCAAAAGTAATGTGCTCAGAGGTGGTTTGGTTTCAATCCACACCATAAAACCCATCCATCTCAAAGCACTCCTGGCAGAGCCCAGCATGTGTCTTTGACACTGCACATCACGCCAGCAGGCCTGCAGTATTTTGATGTTTTGTATCAAACAGAGGCCTTATTAAAAAGCTCTCTTGTCATGATCTATCCAAAGAGAAGCCTTTTGTCTTTCCCCGCTTGCTGGCTATGCTCATTTCAACGCACTTGATCATCTCTTTCAGGAAGAGGATTAATGGAGGATACCTGTGCTTTGCAGGCGACTGAGTGCCTTTGCTAGAAAAACGTGCATCTCGTAAAGGCATGAAATAAGTCCAGCTGATTGATGATTGTCTCACATCATCCCGCAGAGATGGCCACCCATTTACCCTTACTCTTCGAGACAGTATTTCCTCCTTAACACTGTCCTTTTTCTAGAAAGCTGAAAAAGTTACATTGGGGAACATGAGCAATACTCTAGTTTAAAGACTCAGAGCGCTTTTCCCACTTAAGGAAAGGGGTTCAGAGGGCAATGAAGTCTAGTGAAGGTGGCATCAGCCTGGGAAGAGGAAATTTGGGATTTATTTGCTGCACCGGCCTGCATCTTGAGTAGCTTAATTCCCCTCACTGCATCTAGTTTCACTCCCATCCCTCCACTACCTTGGCCATTTACATTAGTTGTCACTCCCTGGAGACACTTCTACGGTTTGAATGACACCTGCTACAATTCACATTAACCAATTCATCATAAAAATTCTGTGTTAAAACACAACTGTTTAATCGCTTTCTGCAGTCAGATCACTGAATTTAATAGCATGTCCCTGGTTTAAAATACATGGACATTACTTTGGAATACTTTTTAATTCTGATACATACAGGGCTGCCAAGGATGAAAGTTTTAATGTTATCATTTAAAGCTAACACTATGCCACATCCCATTACCGAAATCAGGGCAGAACATTCAGTGACCTCAGTTCAACCAGAATTTGTACTTTATGGGCATTAATTATTCCACAATTGGGATTTAAGGAAGACATCCTCCAGGAATCACAGCAAATTAAACATCCAGCTCATTTCTGTGTATGAGATTTGAGCTCCTCTTTTCTCCAAGATCCTTTTCAAACATCAGTCTAATTTTATGTCAGCTCCAGCTCAAGACAGCCACAAAGAACAGGTATGCTAACAAATTTATAAACCTTCCCCTTTTTCCCTGTAGTACTAATTCACCAGTTTTCAGCCCAGTAGGATGCTAGTAAAGCATAACTGAAAGTTTGTACTGTTTAGAGCTCTCTTTTTTCGCTAAGTAGGAAGTGAAAATAAATACCAAGCAACCAGCCCCATCCTTCACACAGGTATGGGAAGCTAGACACAAAAATTCAAAAGATAATAAATCATCTCATATACACTTAGCATTATACAACAACTCTGTATCAGCCAGGAAGGTTTAGCTGGTTTCTCAAAACTGTCCTTAGCCTTACTCTTCCTGCCTCAAAGCAAAACTACCATTTGAAAATACCATAACCTTAAAATATTTTACCATGTTTAGGAGAGAATAATGGTGATTTTGATCTCGGTGAATTTTCTGGCCGAGGGGCTACTAACTGGACGGGCCGCACGTGCTTATCCAACAGCTTCTTGAAGCAAGACTGCCGATTCTCGAACATGCTTCGAACGTTTTCAAGCTTGACCTGTACTGACTGTATCTGGCACTGCAGAGAGTGAAAAAAACTCCCGTGATCAAATAACTACCATCATTTTGCACTTTGACCCAAAACAGAGGACTATAAAGCTGACACCACTGCAACACAGTCCAATCCCGCTTTTTACTTGTGTAACAGGGAACTGGAGGGGTGGCTTACCTTCAATTCAGAAGTTAAGACTGACTCAAAATCGTAGTGTAGGGCTTGGGGATCATAGTTTAAGTAGGCTGAAGAGCTTTCAAGAAATCTTTCTATATCCTGGAGAGCTTTCTGAGCGCCTTCTTTAGACTGGCACTTATCCATCTGCTGGTTGGCAAGCAGGTAGGCACCTTCGTCACAGCACTGCAGAGCCTGGTAACAGCACAGGGCAAACACCAGGAGTGAGACCGTCAGCAGCACCCCTACTAAATCAAGGTTCCCATGAAGAATATCATTTACTGGATCTGTATTTTCAACATGGAGCTCAGTAGTACTCCTAAGGACCTCAGCAGCTATTGCATTTTGATTAGAAAGTAGAAAGGCCATGTTTTTTCTGCAGGGTGACTGCAGTCCTCGACATACACAGCCAAGTTGTGCTCTCACTTGTACGTGGATAAAACCAGTGGTATAAGTGACACAGAAGCACTATTTAATGCATAGTTGAACCAAATGATAAGCAGATCTTTATTTATCCAACTCAGAAAGCTGAAGGGGACACGACAGAGTTTACAATGAGACAGGTGGGTTTTTTGAGATGAATGCCTGGCTAAGTGCAGACCTGAACCACAAGGAATGATCAAAGTAATTGCATTCATGTTTTTTCAAAAAATAAGGATTTTAAATTGCAGTTTAAAGTTCAACTTTTAACATGCACCAGTAATAGGTGAACACCAGGCTGGGGTTCAGTTAGCATTCACACACTGTGATGTGCACAGGCGTGAGAAGATGCTGCAGCCAAGAACAACAGAGGACCTCCAGTGTGACAGGCTGTGAATGGGAAGGAAGGCTGTGGAGAGCGGGACCACGGTGTGCTTCAGGAGAGCCCATGGGTTAGATCACTAGCACCAACCTGGACCACAAGAAGCCCAAGAGAGGACACTGTCCTGCAGCTGAGTGGCTGCTGAGGAATGGTCTGTCCCCACAGATAAATGCAATATTGAAGTGGAGCACACAGAGAAAAAAAAAAACAAGTTCCCTACTCCCCCAAAACAGTGAAATGGAACAGGGTCAAACTTCGCTGCTTCTCTTAATGGCTCCAAGCATATTACAGTTGTGTGCCTTCTGGCCCAATTAGCGTGAATTTCCCTAAATGAATTTTTGATGCTGATTAAGATATCAAAAAGCATTGGAGCCACATGACTCCACTTCCATGCTAGCACACAGCAGCTGTGCCTATTTACCAATCTGTCACCTTATTTTACAGTCAGCTATGTTCACTCTTAATAAATCGCTAACAAAAACCGGCTAGAGTTTATCTGAAAGCTTTGCCTCTATTGCACTGGGTATGAAAACCTCAAAAGTCAATTAATATAGGGATGCAGCATGAAAGCATGACCAACAGCAGCAGCTGAACTTTGGTGTTCTGAATTGACCCCTGGAGATGCCCACCTCTGCTGACTATTCAGAGCACCAGCAGATATCTGTTTGCTAATTTAACCAGCTAAGTGAGGGGTGAAGGACACCTCCAGCCCCTGGGGAACACTTTCCCACCACGAACTGCTGAAGCAAAGCTGCAAATTTCAGATGCTTCCAGCTAAGAAGTGAAGAGACTAACCCCATGGAGAAGCCAACTATCTACTTAGGGCACTGTGTCTCTTAACTCTACCTGCTGAAGGCGTGTATGAAGATCCAAGGTCTTCTGCAGTCGCATCTGCTTCCTTTTGATCTCATCAGACAAGACATCAGAATGGTGCCGCAGCTCGTTGCATTGCTGGCAGATTAAGTTGAGGGCGTAGTGATGATTTGCTGCTAGCTGGTGTCCATGTAGTATCACCACCTGAGCCTTCCCTATCAGATCCTTCAGTGAAAGGAAGAGAATGGATTGCACACTTGCTGAAACAATGCCAAAATATCTACGTATAACAACATGCACTTTCTCGTCTTACCAGATTTCAGGTACCCATGGAGATGACTGCCATTAGGAGTAGCCAGAATGGGTGGCTTACGCGGGATAAAATGGCACCCATCATCTGGGAAAAAAGACTTTTGCTATCCAAAAAGAGGATGAAGAAGGAAACAGTATTTCACCAAACTAGCAATGCTGTGACTCGCTGCTGGCAATATATTGCTGCCATCTCCAGGAACTGCACTCTAAAAAACAATGCAGCTGATGTCCAGTTTAGGCACACTATGCTCATAAGCATGAAAGGGAATTTGAGCAGTTAAGGTTTACAGTGAAAACAAACCAGGCCCTTTGCAGAAAAACTTGATGCAAAGAACATGCAATCTCAGACAGCATAATGGCCAATGTATGTCTTCTCCAGGGTTGCCCTTCTGCTGGGATTGCACCCTGTCTGTCTGGCCTTTTATTCCCTCTCCCTTTCTCCACAAACATTTCTTCCAAATGGCCAAAAAGCCTTAGTCCTTTCCCCTAGGGCTCTTACTTTCAAAGAGATGTCTAGGGGTTCTGCCCAGATCCCTCAGGATTTCTCTACTGACCCTGGCCCACTTACCCAGCACATCCCTTTACAGAAGTCACATCCTTAGTTGGACTCCTGTGAATCATCTTTCTTCACTCTTCTTTCCCCTATGTCCCTCAGTCTTCATCCATATGTTATGTTCGAATTGCAGGCACATCAAAATAGCAACTTTTCTGCCTCTCCATGTGCCTGGTAACAAGTCTCTGCCTATTAGCACTGCTAAAGCACTTAACATATAAATAATTCTTCTTCCAGCTCATTAACTCCCACGTCTCCCCTATGTTCAGACATTTATCTGTTCTGGATTTTCATGGTGGTTCAGCAATTTATTTTAACTATAATAATTAAACACCCTGTTCCTGGCCTTCAGAGTGATCACAGCATTGCTGCACAGAGCAAAGACATGAAATCAATCCTTTTGTGCAGCCACTTACCAACAAATTACACTAGAAGCAGGTAATTTCAGAAAACACCTCCTACCACAAATACAGAATGTGCCTCTTGTGTTTCATTAGTGCTTCTTTCTGTGAAAAATTATCTTACCTGAGCCATACCATCAAAATGACCCAAGTCCTTGAGCCTCTGTTTAACTTGGGGGACACTGTCGCCAGTGTCAGGCAGCTCTGCTTGCTGACCCATTAAAAATTCAATGGCATTCTTGACCTAAACACAAAGAAGAAGACTGCTGCAAAAGGATACAAAGAGCAGGCAGAAAATAATTTTCAGGCCAAAATTAATCACACTTTAGCTAAGACTGCTAAATCCAATAATAAAACTAGTGTCCAAGAACTAGTTTCTAAATTCAAAGATGTTTCTGTCAGCAAAATCTACGCGACTGCAGAGCAGTGATACCTAAATTAGCTCTGACTGAGGAAGCACAGTGGTTTCCCCAAGCTACCTAGCCCTGCCAGAGTCAAGGAACGGCAGTATAAATTAAACACTCTCAAAATGAAAAGCATAAAAACTTCTCTCCTCTCTCCTCCTTTTCATCTCCAACTCTTCCTTCTGCCAACAGAAGTGCATCTGACCATACCTCTTGAAAACTTTGCTCAAATTTCCACAGTTGTAAATATTGCTCCATTTTTAACTGATGTTTTTCCCAGAAACCATCAAAAGCAGTCTCCATCTCATGCAGCTGACCAAGTAACCTTGAGCACAGAAAAAGGACAGGAACAATTTGCAAACAGAGAACAAGCAGAGATGGACAAGCCCTATAGATCACCCTAGAGGTCTTCTGGACCCAAACTCTCAGGACAAGTCAACGAACATGTACATATGACTTGTGAAGATCTCAGAGAGAATTTTAGTTAAATCACCACCGCAGATGACAGCACCTGTGTGAAGCAGTTGTTGCTGTCTCCATTTATCTGAATAATACCTGAGAGCCTGGCAAGGGACAACCCTGCATCTGCTCCACAGCCTCATCTTGAGGCAGGGGGAAGGAAAATCAGAGCAGGTCAAAGTTGCTTGACAGAAGTCACCCAGTAATTTGGTTGGTCTGGAGCAAAACTCTGGTATCTTTGTCTTTACCTCTTTGATAGGTAACCTAAATAACACATCTACACTTAAATAACTTGAGTGTTTCCACTCAAAAATCAGGCAAATTAGGAACATAGCGCACTCACCGATTCACAGTCTCCCAGTCCCCAGGCCTCTCGTGGTGTTGGTCCTGACTGCATTCCCCGGCATCAGGGTCTTCAAAACTGCTCAAAAGCAAGTTTCCCTCTTTTGTGACTGCTGTAATATCTTCCTGTATAATGCAAAGTATGTCTGATTCAGGGTACTTTTTGTGAGGTAAGGATAAGCCATTTTGTGTTTCTCCTGCCTTAGTTTCCCTGTATGAAATGTAGCACAAGTATCCATCTGGATAGGACTCCCAGCAGATGTTTTAGCCCCCTTAATGTGCGGTTAGTCCCTGGAGCTGGTGGAGGCTGAACCACAGGCTGGTTGTCAGGTTGGGTGGAAACTGGCATGCATGAAAACATCAGGCCACAAAATGATTCAAGAAGCAGGAGGGCAGCACTACCACAGGTCTCCCTTGGTGAGCAAGCGTGTTTGTATTAGATATCTATCTACAAGTTCACGTATTCAAGCAAGTATTTCTGCAGCTTGGAGGCTTTGCTTCTCCATCAAGATCATCATAGGAGGTTGTAGGAAGAGCATCCCATAGTGGGGCAAAGCTGGAACTGAGACCACGTGGCATCACTTACTAGAGCCTCTACATACAAAAACAAGTCAGTACTTTCAATGTACCCTCCACTTAGGGAAAATTTAAAGCCTTGGTGTGCTCATTAGCATCAGCTAGGATGCTTTGTGCTGTGTTGGGCTTAGTGCCAAGCAAACAGATGCATTTAGTCAATTATCTTCAGAAAAAAGAGACCAAACACAGAGGTGAGAAGGAAGGAGAAAACAGATGTGACTGATGAACTGAGTTGGAAGAGGTCCTGAAGGAGAGACTTGTGCACGGCTCCACTGGAGAGCCAGCTCCTGGAGGAGTAAAAGCCCATCCTAGGAGATTGCCAGATTTCTAGTGGAAGAGAAACAATGGCAAAACCGCTTTGGGGAAAAGATTCAGAAAGCACAGACTCGCTTAAAGGTCTGCCTGCCCCAGATAGCTCACAGCCACCTAAATAGCATCTTCAGGGCAGTAGCCCAGGAGCTGGAGGATATGGCCACAAGAGCTTCTCATCTCCCACACACAAAGTGTCCACTGCCAGTTTGCATCCCTATCACTAAAACATCATGGACAATGACCACAAGGCAAAACCCCTGTCTGCTTTTGATACTACCACATCCAGGAGACTCAAAAGGGAAGAGGAATTATGCAGCATGCTTTAGACCGCAGGTGGCTGTTATTTCATCCTCTTACGCCTCAGTCTCCAGAGCCCCGCGTTCCCCTTTTGATCCAAAGCCTTTCATTATATGTACGACAAAGTAGCCTGACTGTCAAACAGGTGTTAACTTGCTTTTTTCCCATTCAGTATATCAAAGAGGTTAATTTCTTAGTTACTCTGTTTAATTAATTTCTGTCATTTTTTCATTGTGTTTGCAACCAGCTTCTGTTCTATATCACAGCTACATAAATTATTCTGATTGACTCATTATTTGAATTCAGGAATCAGCTGTACCAGTCTTGGGATTGATATGAGAGAGACAAAGATCCCATGTCTTGCTGTCACCACAATCTGTGCAGTTTCTCATCTGCTTTCATCTTTCATGGTCTTAGAAGGAACAAAAGAAAAAAGCCAAGGGACTTCATTTCAGTCAAAAATCCAATGAGTGGTTTGATATTTGAAATTAATAGACAAGGCATTAAAAGCAACCGATGCCTTGTACTAAGTGCTGCTGTGCTTTATATGCAAATTAAAACACATGATGTGTTTTATTTCTCCACAGAGGAAAGTGTATATTACTGACTCGTTACATACAGGACTACGTTGTGTAGCCAATATTTGCCCCCTACACCTTGGCTATGGTCCTAAGCACGAAGTTTAAGTCAGCAAGTCGTATTGCAATATATGTAGCTGTTTTATACTACAGCTCTCTTCATTGTCAAAGAAGAAATAAATGACTATTGGCAGTATCTACTATGATACTTTCTGTAAGTACACACATACATTTATGCCTACATCCGGCACACTTTGGATGTCACTTTGCATATTTCTTCCCGGCAGCCTTCTGGGAACTCACTGTCAGGTGAAAGACAAATGATTATAAATGAAAATAAATAAACTTCTTTGACTTGTATAAATGAATCCTGTCATAAAGCAAAGGAGCTCATTCTTCAGCCACACAGCACAGCTATTAACATGGGAATTGTTTCTGAAGTTTGGGGTTAAGGGGACAAGCCTGTGTTGTCCCCAGAAAGATGCAGGAGCAGCAAAGACAACAGCTTGATCTAGCAGCACTTGGCTGCACTAAAGCTTCCACTAACTCCTATAATAATACTAATCACAATCACAAATAGTGGAAAGAAAAATTTTAAAACATTAAAGAAACAAATGTTGTTTAAGAGGACAAATGAAGGCCCACATGAAGATAGGGATCACATTGTGGATCCTCTGTACCATGCACTCACACAAAATCTTCACCTTGGATGCTCTCCAACACATTTTCCTTAAGTCCTCCCTGAGAAGTCGCATTAGGCAGAGGGGCCTGGGCACAAACTGTCCCTCCAGACCTGCTGATGACCTTTGCACGCAGCTTCCTCCAGCCAGGGGGGTGAAGCGGAGGGAATCCCACCAGGGGCATGAACACCCAGGTGATGAAGCTTCCCACCCACCCTCCTGCCAACAAGATGTGCAAACCCATGGGAGGAGCACACTGTAGACACCAACTTCTGCAGCCAGCAAGGAGGCGGCAGCTGAGACAGTTTCCTGGATGCTGGCAGGGTAATTTGCTTGAGTAGATGGCAAATATAAGGGTAACATACAGAATAGTCACACTGTGTTTTATTTTGTCTGTCAACATGCATGGGAGGGAAGGAGGAGTGGGCACCAAACAAAGAGGCAGTCAAATCTCAGAAATCCCATCTTGCTGTGCAAACGAGCTTGGAACACACGGCAGAGCTGCTGATGAGACGTACCTTGAGCTGGTAGTACTTTTCTGTGCGCAGGGCCAGGATGCGCTCGATGGAATACATGTCGTCCGGTAGCTCGGTCTCTGCGAGCTCCGTGCCAAAGGATTGTAACATCTGTGCAATTTCCTTCACGGTTAGTGCAAAACTCTCTATTGCCTGGTGGGAGAAAATAATTGCAATCAGCTTGGGATTCAGGGTATTCCTGCAGCTCATTAAGAGTATGTGAAGAGCCAAGGCTGAGATCTGCAGGGGAATCTAACAGCTTGCTCTGATGTCCGCTCCAGATGGAGCTGATGTGTGCTGCGGTGCATTAGCCAGTGACCACCAACACGTGGCCAGGTGGCTTTTAGTTCAGTCTGAATCTGTAACAGGGACTTAAATAAGGGGTATTGGGCATACTTAGTTTTATTCTGCCTGTTCTTGTGCACTCTGAGATTTTTTCCTACCGCATACTGGAGGTCTATAGCAGAAGCCACTACAGGAGCCATCTCACAAATTCCTTAATTCCTCTTCTGTTATTCTTCTCCTCTGGTTAACCCATATTGGGAACCACCTCCAGGCAGTAGGGCTTTGGAGATATATTTGGCTTCCAGGTGACTGATGTTTCCAGCTTTGCAAGCCCGAAAGGCAGGCTACAAGGCAGTCTGGCACCATGGCCACCTCATCTGCAGCTTCACCAAGAGGACAAGGGAGGGAGCCAAGCAGTGTGCTGGAGACAAACTGAAGACAGTGGGATGGAAATGAGTGCTGTTGGTACCTCCCCAGCACATCCCTGGCAGCCAGTGGGAACTCTGGATGTCAGATGGCTCCCTCACCACAGGGCAAGGTGGGGCTCTCCCAGCCCCGCTCACAGCTCCAGCTCTGCTTTTGAGAACAGGGTAATAAACTCAAATGTAACTGACTGCATTTAGATTTTCTTTAAACAGCATATTTTCCATGGAAATTTCAGGAAATATTTTATGAGCACACTACAAGGGAATTTTGAGAGAAGTTTTTCATATACAGACTTATCTACCATATGCAGTTATGGTCTAGAAACTATCCTTTTCTTTGATTAACACTTTTTGTCATTCATTTTGTCATTTTGTCTCCAAGCGCGAGAGCTATGCCATTATCGCTTTAACACATCATGCAAAAGAACAAAACTGAAAGCCAAAAATGTAAAAAATTTGTTAATTTGGCAGTGCATCAGTGTAAACTGGCACAAGGTTAATGGCACAAGCAATAGCTTAAGTTATTCCAGCTCCAATGTCTTGTGCTTTTGTCTTTATACTGAGCTCAACATCTGCTGGTGTGGATGACATTGCAGGACAAGGGGCACTAGGATGCCTCCTACATTTTTCATTAGTGCTTTGATTTGTTGGGAAGGTAACTGAGAATCCAACCTGACATTAATCTGGGAGACAAAGTCCCAGTGAACACTGAGAGTGTACAGGAAGCATAGAAACACATGGCAAGGCACAGCTTGGAATTATGCGCCTGACTCCTGGCAATATTAAAGGAAAATTCTTGCAAAGAAAAAAAAATAAAAGGAAATTTTCCGAATTCTCTGCATTCAATCAGTATGCAGACAGCAGTCTCATTGCCCTGGTTCTCAAACACATTAGTGATATCAATCACATGAAGCAAGCATCATTAAAAAAAAAAAAAAAAAAAAAAGCCTATTTTGTATCTACCATTAAGGGAATTCTAATAAAGACTCAAGAAGACAGATCTTTCAGGACCAGTTTCAAAAGGAGCCTGAGGAAGTTAATCATCCAATTCCCTTATAAACCCATCAAGTGCCTAATGCCACTTGACTCCTTTGCAAATCTGATCGAGAAAAGGTAGCTGGCTTCAGGGGTTACTTTCAGCTACCCATTGCTCATTGCCCTACAGAAAACATTCCTCAGTTGATCCCAAACACCCAAAAGCCCAGGACCCAGTCTCAGTACGTACAGTCCTGAAGATGACCCACTCGCTGTGGCAGTACTCCAGGGTGCCTCCAAACTCTGGGGTTAATTGCTGTTCATCAATGTATGTTAGCAGATCGCTAACCGAGCTCAGCATAACAACCTACAAACAAGGCAACACCGTTAGCTGATCATCACTTCTACCCCAGTCATACACAGACCAAGCCTACAAATCTTTTATGTACCTAAAAATTTGATTTGCTTTAAATATTGCTCTACAGCATGGCTTTCTTCCTATGCTTATGGCTTAACATGACTTTCAGTTGATGTATTTGACCATTTTTGTAAGCCAGCCCTGATCTCCCAGATGTTTTCTTCCTTAAATGCAAAGTATGGTGAGATGCTGCAGTACCTGACTGCAGAACAGAGCTGAAAGCAAAAGTAATGCGTTTTTTGCAAGGGATGACCAGTAATCTGGAAAAAATATATACATTTTAGTAAGTCTGAAGCATTGGCCAGTTTCACATAAATATAGTTTTTGTGTGTCTTGATCTGCCCTGGGATAATTTTCAAAACTGTGCAAATGACAATTATTTTAGAGTGAAAAATGCAAAGTTTGGGAAAATCATACTATTTCCTAAAGGAAAACATCGGTTTGTTTTGTGCATTTGTAATTGTGTCAACCTTAGATTCCATAAATGTACTTTTCTTCTCTTAATTATTCTTATTATGTCCTATAATCAAGGTGGCTTTAGAAGTCTTGGAAATATTGACTTGAGAAAATTAAAATGGTGATTATAGGTGGAATTCATAGCAAAAGCTTCACTAAACACCTCTTTTGACTTTTCAGACATTGAACAAATTTCTGAGCATAGTTTTATCCTCCACAGAAGCATGCAGCATATATGGGAGATGAGGACAGCATGGGAAGTCCACCATCCACCACCATGGACATGCTCTGTGGGGAGCCAGCTGTGCACAAGGGAGCTGAAAAATGCTACAGGAGGGATTTGGTGGAGAGAGATTTGGTAGAAATACGGCACCTCTGGCAGAGACACTCCAGTTACTCTTCAAATGGGTGCCTGCAGAGGGGAACACTCTCACCCCATGACCCAAGGTGTGCAGGCAGCCTCCAATCAGGCACAGGCACAACACCTCTGCACGCCCGTACCGGTAACTTGAGTAGAAAATCCTCCTGACTGAACCGAAATCCAATGTCAGTGAAGGTGCGCTGGAAAAACCCCGTGGGACGAAGAACCATCACTAAGTGGAGGTTCCCTGGGAAAGATGCCTGCAAGGAAAGAGATGACACTCAACCTGGGAACATGGCAGGTCCAACAATGGCTTTCAAACACCTTGAAAAGAGGGGATATCGTTCAGACCTCAGTATTTTTTTCTGATTGTCCCAGATAGCCTTTTCTTATTTTCAAAACAGAAGGGAGACACTGTAAGTGGTTTAGAAATACAGAACGTAACTGCAGGAGGATTGTCCAGTCCCGTTTCCCTTTGGAGCAGACAGGAGTTCAGCCATGCACCTTGGAGGGCCACTTAATATATAGTATTAAAGTTTGTAATAAGTGGCCTTCCAAGGTGCATGGCATTGGTGTTCAGCATTATAACTTGGGGAGTGAAATTACAACTTCGCAGGGAACAGAGGGCTGGAACATCAAGAAGAATGACAGATTGAGGAAGAAAAATTTATTGCCAAATCATCCCATACTCTTCATCAAGCATACTCTCCTTGTCCCTGGTGATTACCAGGCAACATTTAATTTGTGGTAAGAATTTGGAATTTCCTGTCTACGCTTCTGGAGCCTTTTTTCAAGCATATGGTTGGCAGGTGCGTTTTTAAATAGATCTGTGAAAAGAGTGCTTGAAATGAAAAGGAATTTTTAAGAAAGTAGGAGTCATATCATTAAATTATGGATAAGTGCATGATGCAAAGAATTAATTAAGACATATGATTTGTTCTCAGATCCTGCCAGGCCAGGTTACAATTCTCCATATATTCCTTATATTTTCCTCCTCCATGCAACATGATAGTAGTATCCATGCCAAGGGTGAGAGTAATGAACGTGTTTAGGTATTTTGTTCTGCAAGGCACTTAATCTATGCCTTCAAAACAAAGATCGCTCCCATAAACATGCATTAGTGTTGTTCAAAAAAGCCACTATTTACAGTTGAGATCTGACATCCATCAACTGCATTGTAACTCATTTGCTATGTTTTCTTGTGTAGGAAAGGTCAGGTTGTGGCTTCCATTGCCCACAACTCCAAAATGGACAGTGGCTTTTAGGATCAAACAAGACACATGAATTCAACATATTGATCTGCAGTTATTTTAAGTAGAAGCAGAAAAAAAATAAAGAAATTAATGTGAATGAAGTGCCAAATTCATACCCTTTGGAAGTCAACAAGAATGGTGCCAGGGACAAAGACTTGGCATTAGAAACAAGAGCAAACCATTATATAACAGAGATGTTTGTGCTGGCTCTGGGCCCTGAGTGCAGTACCTCTGTTACACAGCACCTGGTTAGCACACAATGTCTCTGAAATGACTGCCAGCCCCAGGCACACAATCATGGCTACAGCCACGGGAGACTCCAGGAACCAACTTCCAACCCCATCAAACCTGCAGATGGTCCAAAGGTCTAAACGTGGCCATGAAGTCACCAGACCTTCACAGCTCTGAGACAGGTCTTGCCCAAGAAAGTGTGGGTGAGAGGCTGCAGGAGATCCCTGCTTCAATGCCTGATTAATTTGCTCTACAAGGAAGATCAGCTCTCCTTCAACACAACCCCAGGCAGATCCTCCAACAGCCCAGCTACTAGACACAGCTCTGAAGAGAAACCCATCCCAGAGACCCTGCTCAGCTAAAGATTTTTAACCTGAGCTTCCCATGTTACTAGAAAGAAAGTCATCCACAGGCTACTGGATATCTCTGAGGAGTTGGAGCAGCTCCTCACTTTGAGAAGAATCTCTGCCTGGGATGCAGAAAACCTTCACTGAGGAAAGCACCACCAGAACTGGCACAGGCTTGTAGACATTTTGAATGAACTGAAAATTTACAGCATTAATATTTCACTGGAAAGTCTCTGGCAAGCTCAATGCTCATCCTCCAGTGCATCCCAGAGAAGCCAGCTGCCTCTCCCACTTCACCATGCTGGTTCTCTGTTGGACCCAATAAAAGGAACTATTGCTCTTTCCAGTCCTGTTGGCTGACCTGGCTAGTCCTTGACACTCGTCATGCTCTGACTTGTCCCATGGCACTAGGACATCCCAGGAAGAGACTTGTCAGTCTGCGTTCATGGCAATGTCATGCCCATCCCCGCAGAGCTGTGAGTCCATCATGTGTCATTCCTTCACACACACTCTTATGTCCGTGTTTGTCTCATTTTTACATCTTGGTCATTTCCCAGTGGTCATTTCTCTTCAGACAGGACAACAGTAGCATCCCCCAACAAGGTTTCAAAGGTATCACCAAGGAGCCACCACAAGCTGCAAACCTCAAAGGACAGGATGCTTTTGCTTCAAGACAGGCCCTGCACCTCTGGCGTTAATGGCTCAAACTGACTCAAACCAAAGCCTTGTGAGGCCAATGGTCTTACAAAGCTTTAAAGGTGCTCGGAGGATGCAATTTTAGGTCCTTTTGCATGGTTATGAGTCCACTGTAGGTGAATCCAATGGTGAAGTCCCACAGAGTGTGGGCAAAGTCACTGTTTCCAGCTCAGAAACACAACATTGTGTTCAGGTCTCTAAACTTTAGGCTCCTACCTTGACCCCCTCCTGAAAAATGCATCAGCAGTATCTTTGAGAAGAGCAACCAGCCAGAGATGCATCCTCCCTTGGTCTTATCTCATTACTCCCCCCCATCCCCTGTTCCCTTTAATGGTGTTCAGCACTTCAAGCAGAGATGAGTCTGCTTTGCCCTCTCCTACTCCTTCAAGTCCTTTTTGACACGCACCCTTCGTGTGCAGAGCAGACTCACTGGAGGAAGGGCCTGGGTCTCCAAAACATATCACCCCATGGGAACCTGCAGACTTTGAGTGTCTTCTCCTATGAGCCCTTGGGCAGGAAACCCACAGCTCCAGGAAGATGGACCAGGGATCAGGAGGCAAGCAGAGCTGCCTGCCAAAACTACACTGCAACAGTGGTAAGGTATGAAACGCCTCTCCGAGAGCAAAGGTGCCTTTGGACACCGTTGGTTACATGACTGCAGGATACCAACATGTTCCACACAACATACAAGAGACCATAACCTGGTGCTCACATCCTTCTGCCACATTCACCACAGGGGCAAACTCTTCTTCGATACAACTTTATGCCCCATACACACACAACTGTATCCCTTTTGCTTCTTGGTATGTTTCAGCTCAGAGGTAGGTGGGGTTTCCAGGATAGGTGACTTGATTTTCATTCCATTTAGAAAGCATTTGGGGATTTTTCAACTGATCTTATACATATGGGATCAAGGTCAGCCCTTACGAATAGCTACAAAACAAGAAAATACAGCTTTGCAAATGATACCTAATGTATTTCCAGCATGGAAAAAACTAAACAAGCCAAAAAAATAAGCTTACAGAAAGACAGCCATCAATCAAACCATGTCCTGTGCCCTCTTACAGACTTCAGAGAAATGATGAAATATTAAATATATATATATATACACACATATCTATCTATCTATAATTCCTCAGAGATAACATTCCTGAAGGGACTACATCTTTTTCAATCACTGCTACAACTCTAGTTCTTCTAAGGGTTGAAGTGTAGATAAGTTACAAACTGAACTCTAATGATACTGAAGGTACTGCTGAGAAAAAACCCTTCCCCACAATATATTCAAGAAAGCAAAGACAAAAGAGTCCTTAATCTTGCCTTACAGCTTATCTTGTTATTTACAACACTACAAAGAATCTCGTGCATTTGACAAACTTGGATTTATGTAACAAAACACTTAAAAGAACCCTCTGAAGCCTTTGCCCTCTGCTACTCCTCTGCAGCATATCAGGAAAGGCAGAAAACTACGGGCGCAATTCCACTAAATCAGGCAATCGGCAAGATTTCACTGCTATTAACTATCTCAATGACCAAAGACCATGCTCAGAACATTCTTCCCCTCCTGAGGACTCAAACGTGTACACCTTAAGGCCCCAGTTCAGCAACTTATTTAAAAGCACACTCAACTATAACCACATAGAAAGCCCTGATATAATCAATATAGACGAGCTGGGCTAATAAAGCGCAAGAAAGGGCATGCACTGAAAGCATCACAGTTATTATCTCCCTCATGAATATCTCATTCTGACACATTTAACATGATTTTTCCTAATTTTAGGAATTCAGTTCTCAGAGAATATTCTTCCCTGCAGTTCACTCGGTCATTCACGAGGTTGGAAATCAATAAACATAAAGTAGTATCTGGCAGTAAGTTTGTCTCTGAGCAATGGAGACTGAGGCTAGTGCTCCTTATGCAGGTGCTGAAGTGAAGGACTTTCTGCTGTCCCTTACAGGAAAAGTCATGCAACAAAATGCCAGGTACTGCTAATTTGAGCTTTAACTTCCCCCTGAGCCAAAATGAAACTCCACAGTGCTCTGCTACCTTTATTAATTATGCCGGCTGCATAATTAACGCCCGAAGATGCTGTTAGCATCGCCGGTGCACAAATTCTACCTAGGGCCCGCTCTCTGCGAGAGGCTTTCTCTTACTGCAAGCGCAATGAATAAAGCCTTTCCCACAACATTCCAGGGATGCGCTGGAAGAAGCACCGCAGGACAGCGATGCCCAACGCCCGCAAGAAGAGCCTGGAGAATTTCCCGCACGGAAAATGGTCCTAAAAATACCCCCCCCGCGCCGCTCAAAACCGCTCCAGTCAACACTCCCGCTCCCTCC